ACTTTAAAAGGGTTCAGATAAGATTCACAAGGACGTTGCCAGGGTTGGAGGGTTTGAGCTATAGCGAGAGGCTGGGGCTATTTTCCAAGCTGAGGAGTGACCTTAAGAGTTTTATAAAATCGTGAGGCCCACGGATAGGGTGAATAGTCAAGGTCTTTTCCGGCCCAACGTGGGTGAGTCAAAAACTAGAGGGCATAGGTTTAAGGTGAGAGCAGCAAAATTTAAAAGGGACTTAAGGAGTAACTTTTTCACACAGAGGGTGGTGCATGTATGGAATGAGCTGCCAGAGGAAGTGGCGGAGGTTGGTACAAATACAACATTTGAAAGGCATCTGGATGAGTATATGAATAGGAAGGGTTTAAAAGAGTTATGGGCCAAGTGCTGGCAAATGGGATTAGATTAATTTAGGATATCTGGTCAACATGGGCAAGTTGGACCAAAGGGTCTGCTTCTGTGCTATACAACTCTAACTCTATAATACCCCTTCAACATGATCCAATATTGTTCCATAATACTAGCCAGTCCTCACATCCTTGCACTGATATCTCAAGATTCTTTCTCCTCAATCCTAATTTTTAATTTATTCTCTCTCAACGTGTAGGCATCACTGGCCAGGCCAGCATTTACTGCTCATCCCTAATTGCACACTATTGTTACAATTTGTTTTCATTAAATATCAAATATTAATACAATGCCAAGTCAGCTTCCTCCAGCATTCTGGGATGATCAGAAACTATTTTCATCATTAAGTCAAGGGTTAATCCCAGTGCCTTGGGCCAATAGACCACTCCTATACTAAAACCTGTACTGGCCCTTGGTGAGACCACATTTGGAATATTGAACACAGTTCTGGTCACCATTTTGGGAGTAGAGGGGTGTGGTGATGTGAAGGAGCTAGACAAGGTACAGAGGAAATTTGCAAAGCTACCAGAAATATACCAGAAATGCACGAGGTAGGAAAGGTTCAAAGACTAGGTCCCTTTTCTTTTGAAGGCTGACGGGTGACCTAAGAGACGTCTTTGCGATTATGAAGTGTTTTGTTAGAGCAAATATTTCCTCATAACTAGGAGGTTGTCAATGCAGGGCAGCCACCAATCATTCCAAGTGGGAATTCAGAAAGAGTGTGGTTAATGTGGAACTAGTTGTTTCTAAAGTAAGCAGTTTTTAAAAGAAAAAGTGATATGGACATTGTCCATGGTTAAGTGCCCTTGAGCAGTGGTCAGGAGCTGCCTTCTTGAATAGCTGCAGTGCTTGGGGTGAAGGCACACTCCCGCCAATGCTGTTTGGGAGGGAATCCCAGGACTTTGCCCAATGCCAGTGAAAGACTGGCAATATATTTCCAAGTCAGAATGGGGTTTGGAGGGGAACTTGGAGGGCGTGTTCGCATATGTCAACTGATCATCCTTTCCGATGGGAGAAACTGAAGATTTGGAAGGTGTTGCCAGTGGAGTAGAGATGCTTTGGTGCATCTTGAAGGTGGTACACTCTGAGCATTGGTGGAGGGGGGAGTGGATGGGATGCTAATCAAAACAGATTGCTTGATAGCATCAAGTTTCTTGATTTGTGTTGGACATCACCGTAGTATTCAAGGAGAAACTAGGCAAACTTATGAATAAAAAAAAGTGCACAAAGGGTTACGGTAATAGCTTTAGATGAAGAAAGACAGAAAGAGCCTCAACTGAAGCACAAATACCAGCCTGAACTGTTTGGACGGTCTCAGGGCTGCATTGTAATGTTACTGACTAACTCTGCAAACAAAAAATCAGATTAATTGCATGGAACATGACTGTGCTTCCTCGTTGCACTCATTGGCATGGCAACAGTCGACGGTGTCATTTTCATTCAGGGGTAGGAGGAAATGTGGAGTTGAGACCACGAATGATCTACTAAATAGTGCACAAGGTTCGATGGTCTAATCCTGGTCCTAATCCATATGTTCATAACTGTCCCTTGGCTGTGAGGCACCATAACAAGTTGCTCTATAAGTACAGGCTTCTCCAGTCATTGCTCCCCTAAGTAATTGTACACAAGGCGGCTGGGACGACCAGAAACAGCTCCTCTTTCGTAAGGGAGATGACCACACATTCAGAGATTCCCGCCACTAAGCAACACTGACCCTCCAGCTCTCTCCCACATCTGTCTTCAGCATGCACAGCTCCTCACAAAGACTGTGCACCTACCACACAAGGTTACTCTGCATGCTTTAAAAGAGGACTTAGTATATAATACAGGGAGTCACTGAGAAGGCTCAGTTTCCTGTACAGCAGGGAAGGGATTGGAAACAGAGATACACATTTCAGGATCTCAGCTGTTCTTTCATTTCGCCATTTGGTTGCCCCTCAGATTAAATAGTCTTCCAAAATTTGGTATTAGCTACAAATTTGACAAGTTTATGTGGACCTTTGGAGTCCAATTTTTAAAAAAAAATTAATTGACAGGATGAGGGTGCCGCTGGCCAGGCCAGTGTTTATCTCCATCTCTAACTGCACACAGGGAACTTGAGAGTCAACCACATTACTGGAGTCACATGTAGACCAGAACAGGTAAAGGATGGTAGTATCGTTCACTAAAAGGAAATGACTGAACCACTGGGGCTTTTTTCTTACAGTCAACAAATGGTTTTGTGGTCATTGTTAGATTAGACTCTTAATTTCAGGGTTTTTTTTTTTAAAAAACAGATTTCAAATTCCACCATCTGCCATGGTGAGATTTGAACCCAGGTCCCCAGAACATTAACAGTCCAATGATATTACCACTAGGCCATCGTCTCCCATTTGCGTAAATCAGGACACTGAGGAGTACAGATTGTTAGGGCATCCCCAATTGGCACACAGTCCTCCCTTTACTGGTATAAGGCACTCCAAACGCAGCCAGAATTACCTGCTCAGCATCAACTACGCTAGAGCACGGACCATTAGAAAGCTACAGCAAGCATAGTGGGCTGTTGCCACAACATGTCACTCACTATTGCTCTGAGAGTGTTTGGGTCCTGGTCTTGCCACTAAGACATGAAGGAAGGGGGAGACATGCTGAAGGCTGCAGATCAGGACACTGACCACCCACTGCAAAGTGAAAAGGCAGTGGGTCAGGTGCAAACCGTTCAGCCTTGAAAAGGAGATGATGCTTACGATTGGCTTGAAACAGCCACCAGGTAAAACACATCGATACTTACCCAACAGGATAAATGATTATTACCTCCCTTTATTATACTGAATGTGTGCATTTCCACAACCTCTCTACAGCTCTGACAATTGGTGGAATAACTCACTACTGGTAACAAAAGCTAATAAGTCCTTTGTTCTTAGAGATAGCAAGAACTGCCAATTCTGGAGTCCGAGATAACACAGCATGGAGCTGGTGGAACACAGCAGGCCAGGCAGCATCAGAGGAGCAGGAAAGCTGACGTTTTGGGTCAGGGCCCTTCTTCAGAAAAAAAGTCCTTTGTTCTGGTCTGGTCTGGTTGGTATGGAGATATTAACGGTATAACTGGGGGCCGGGGGGGGTGGGGAGAGGGGTAGAATTTCAAAAGATATTGCCTTCAAAAGATAAGGGCCTCATTTCTTCAGCAAGGAGCTCAGCAATCTTTTGCACAAGGAATCCCTTTCAGAAATTGGGTATTAAACCCCATCAGATAACTGGTCTCAGAGTTTCATCTACCAGAGAGAGAGACACATCCAAACAATTTCACAAATACTGGACTTTCCAGTGCATCTCAGAGTTGTACAATGAGCTGCCAAGATTCCAGAATCACATCCATGAGATTGTCTCAACAGAGAGAAAGATGGAGATGCACTGAAACAAGACAGGGTAGCGACTCACTCTGTCTCACACCCAAAAAGGCAGAATAATAGTTTAGCCCAAACCCACTCCCAACAATTTCCCTATCAAATTTCTCTGCTCTATATGCCAAGATCAGGGAGAGAAATCAAATCACAGTAGAGAGGTCTCAAATGTCAAAGAAAATCCATCAAACGTCAAGAAGTAACAACTTTTACAGTCATGCAATCAGCACTCGCCAGGACAGAATCCCCCAGACACAGCAGCAATAGAGCTTCACATCGCTGGCTGAAAGAACTCCTCTAGCAGATCATGTCTCCTGACCAATTTCCAAACCATCGTCTGCGAAAAGCAGACAACTCACCTCGATCTGAATAAAACACTGTGCCTAATGACCTGAGCTTCACAAAACAACAAGGACTAGGTGCCACGCAGCTTCATATTCCTCTTGATCGTCTCTCTGAAGTAGATCCTGACAGCATACAGTATGAGAAATACAAGCACGTTCTTAAAGCCGAGACTTATCCACCGCTTGCGATCTTATTTCTGGATTTAAATTCTCTGTGACAAAAACGCTATGAAATCCAGACTAAAAGCCAAGGGTATAATTCCTGCTGTCTTTGGTTTGAGGCTGAAGGTGGTAAATGTCTAATGAACAGGGATTACTTGGGACAAACACAAACTGCACAATTTCACAGTTTCTCTAAAGGTGGATTCTGTTGAAGGGCTGTTCCTAAAAAGGGAGATCCTCACATGTACACAGCATTTACATTACTTACACTTTGCACTTGCAATTATTGATTTTGAGAGTTTTCAGGTTCACACTTAATTTCTGCACTCTGCTATTCCATAGTTATGTCAAGTACAAGAGAAAGAGTGCAGTCACTGTTTGATAAGGGGCTTCTCCCTCAGTTTCTAACTGCTGTCTATGCGTTTCTGGTCAGTTGGTGTAGAACAGGTTGAATATGTCTTGTTTTGACTAGAGGGTTGGGCCAGGCTATGGAGACCTTCCACAGGATGGACACAGCCCGGGCTGGGAATGCTCTGGGTCACTGGCCCTCTTATCCAGGTGACCCTAGGGAGGAAGCAGGCAGTGTCCACCTGTAAGCTACAGGATTCCCTGACCATCGGACCCACAGTGACTGGAGCACACGCCAGATCACTCATCGATCATTTTCTAGCATAGAGTCACTGCGCCAGAGGAGACTGGTGCAGACACCTACCATACATCTTGCCCTCATCAGACAGGATAATCTTCCGTCGCCCACAGGGTGGATATATAGCCAACGCTTCCTGGAAACTCTGCTCAATGTCAGGACTCCACACTCCCTCAGCATCATTGTCCAATGATTTTTCCAAGCCGTCTCCCCCATCCTGCCTGCCCTCTCCGGGGCTCCCGCTCCCATTCCAATCGTTGGACGCAATTGTGGCAGTTGGTGGGGCTCCAAGAGCCGGTGGTCACTGAAGAGAAACCTGCAAAGACAGCGAAGAGACAGCACACAATTTAGGAGGTCAGCAACCATATCACTCACTATGGATGGCACCAAGTGGAAAGCCAGTCTCGGCCACGCTACAGACTGGCATGTGCCCATCGAAGGCACTATATACACGAAAAGGACTTCCTTTTAGGTACAGCCCATAATGTGCAGGGAGGTGCAGGCTAGGGGTGGATCAGCCATAGGAAATGCAGGGTTGCAGGGATACGGTCGAGGGATGGGTCTGGGTGGGATGCTCTTTGGGCAGTCAGTGTGAACTTGATGGTCCAAATGGCCTGCTTCCACATGTAGGGATTTTAATGATTCTATGAATCATTAAGTTGAAGTCTTGTCTACCTCTGTTCAGGTCAAGTGCAAAAATCCTGCAGCAGTTATTTTAAAAAAAAAGGAAACTACCTAATGTGTTCTGGACAACATTCATTTCTCAATCAATATCCATAAACAGATTATCTGCTCATTGTCACACTGCAGTCTATGGGATCTAGCTACAATGCATTGTCTGCCATGTTTCCTATACTTCCTGGGTGCGATACTATTCAAAAACTACTTCATTGGCTGCAACACACTTCTGGATGCTCAAGAAAGGTCAAAAAAGTCCCTTCTCTAAGAGCAAGCAAACAAATGCATTTTTGACATAAAGCCTAAGCTAGAGGTGATATGGGAACACTGGACCCGAGAATCAGATGCTAAGATTAAAAAAAAGTGATTGGTTTAAGCATGGCAGGACAAATAGGAATTCTTATGCTAACATTAGCAAGTGCGTTTTCTTTCTTTCTTTAATACTGGAAATAAATTTGCCTCAGATTATCTGGCCAGTGATGCTTATACATATTGTCTATTTCTGAACTTTTTAAAAGAACTACAAAGTACATCAAAATTTGGAACACTGAGTACAATTGCAATACTGAAATCAAACCCCATTGGTAAGATCCCTCTGAAGCTGATGCAGGATACAGTATTGTCCATAGCAAATGCTTTAGGCACACACTCCTAAAATGTAATGGGATTATTCCAAAAGTACTGGCTTTGCTGCTGATTCACACAACTGTAACCCATTCTCACCTCTGAGTCAGCAAGTTTAAAAGTTCAAGTTCCACTTCAAAGATTGGGAGCGCAAAATCCAGGCTGACTCCCGATATGATACAAAGAGTACTATGCCCAAGGCACCTCTTTCAGGTGAGGCTAAAACAGAAACAAATCTGCCCAGGGAAATGTTAAAGATCCCAAAGTCCTTTACAAAGGATGGCTCCCACATTGCAATAGTGACCAATTTGTCTTTTACTGAATGTAGGACATGCGGAGACCACGAAAGGTGCTAAAGAAATGCATGATTTTGACAGTTTTTCTTTCAATGGCAGATAGAGTGGCAATAGTACCCATACCAGATTGGAACTCTACTGGGATGAGAAATCACCAGCCTCACTGCTGGTTGGGTGCCACATATTCTTCTGTTTCACAATGGCTGACAGCACAAGTAATATCGTGCCACCAGCCCCGACTCCACCAATTGGTCAATGGAAGCAGCAAAAAGATTCCCTAACCAAGCTACGATGAGCAATCCGCCATGACATCACCCTGCCTAGAAGGTCAAAGGTCCTGCCTGCTCAGAGACTGGGCGGTGCAGCTCAGCCCAACAGCTCTTACTGATCAACACAAATTACTTAGCCACTTAACTCATCTGGCGCTCGTGGGATCTTGCTGCACTCAAACTGCCTTGCTTGCCTAATATACAATATTGACAAGACAAAACGTTCGGTCTAGTCTGGCTCAAAGATTTGTGGAGAAAACAAAGTCAAGAGTTTGGAGGAAATAATAGGGTCTCTTCAGATAACAGAGAGAGAAAAATAAACAGAACTTCCGAGACTCATCTGGATGAGCAAGCTTGTCATCGAGCTTGACAGAAAAACCTGAGTGTTAGCAGTCTTTCAACATTCACCATCCAGCTTTGCAGAAGCAACAGTGTGCATTCACATAGCACCTTGGACAGAGTAACATGACCTAGAGCATTAGTGTAGCCAAAAACGAAAACTGGCACTGCATCAGATCAAAACACTTTGAGGCAGGGAATTAAATACTTTGTTGAAGAAAAGGGTAAGCATGTTGATGACAGGGCTGAAAGCTCTGGAAAGGTTAAAGGGCCGACCTGAAAGCAAGGCCACCAACAAAGAATGCAGCAGAGACTAGAGTTAGGAGGAATGTGACAGGACACAGAAAGGAGGAATAGGCTATATGGATGAGGCAACAGACAGACTACCTCAGTCAGAGACAAAGTGGGGTTTTAATTATCCCTGTATTGTAGTGTTACAGCAACCAGAGTATTGAGTATCACCCAGCAATCCTCCCCAATCATGTTATATTTTGGTTAATATGCTCCGTATTCATACCCTCAGTGACAGCTGTGTCACAGCATTAGCAGCAATGACCATTGCAATTACTGTCACACTAGACAAGAACCTTTCACGGGTCACTCAACATTTTGTGCAAGGCTTCCATTCTTCCGGTGAAAGAGTGGTTTGATGCAGGACGTTAACGAGATCTAGTGCAGTTCGAATGCTGCAACATCAGTGAGTGGCACTGAACAACGTCCTTTCACTTAGCTGAGACTAGCGACAAATTCAGCCAGGACCACAGGCTAGATTCTCTGGCTCCAAAAACTGTTTGGATAGTCTCGATTGGACGTGCTCCAGAACATGAAGCTGCTCTTAACTGATGGGCAGCTAATCTGCCTCGGAGGGTCCAGGGAGAGCGTAAGGCGAGGGGGGGTGGGCAAAGAGTGGGGGAAGAGGGGCAGGAGGAGGGGTGCAAGGAAAGAAAGAGAAATGCAGGCAAGAGAGGTGCAATGGAGAGAACTTTGCAGATCATTTTACGATTCTCTGGAGGTTGTCGCTAAGACGTGGATAATTGCACAAAACCTGGCCTGACATTGCTTTGAAGCTAAATATGTAATATTGGCAACGCTTTCAAATCATCTTGATAATGTGAAAATGTGCTTATCTACCAAACTAAACTCACTGTGCAAAAAAAAAGGTCTACCTGACTCGCTGGCATTTGCATATCAGCTAACAGCCTGTACACATTGAAGACAAGCAGTCTGAAGCCATCAAGTCCACCTCATCCAACTGGGCGATCTCCGATCTAAAGTTAGGCAGGCTAAGATGGAATGAGGTAGCAAGGTGTTACAAAGCCAATAAACCTTTGCCATATCATAAAACTGATCTTTGCAAACGACTCATGTCAACATGAGTGAACTGCAGTGCAACCCAACACTGCCAGCTCTGCCAGGAATGTTCCCTGGGAATAGTACATGACTCCACTGTCCTTTGTTTAGATGCAGACACATACAAATCTGCCAGGAACTATGTACTGCACAAGACATTTTGATGATTCGAGTCGACATGCATCACAATTCTTTTTGCTTTTAAAAAAAGCCCGAGTAGTCACACACGTTTCAAAGTTACACTGCAATCCATGCATTGCTCTCCTGTGCGGGCCACACCTTTGCAGAGTTGAACAATCCCATCGGTGGGAGCTTTCTCCTGGGAATCGATGGTTCCTAAAGGGAAGGTCCTTCCCCTAGTGCCCCAAGGACTGCGAGGTGTTTGCTGAAACATTCAGCTGAAGAGGGGCAGAACCAAGGAAAAAAAAAAGGAGCAGCATCCAACACCAAATGGGTCAGCAATTGCCAATGGGACAGCTTCGAAAACCAAACAACTTGAAAAGGAGCAGGAAGCCAAAGGGTTGGGAGATTATGGTATTGCTGCAAATCTCCCTGAAGTTGGAGGAGAAACTAACTGTAGAGAGATTAATCTGCCACCTGGTTTCACCCCCTTGAATCCAGAAAACATGGAATCTTCCAAGGGGTCACTAGTTGCAGTGTTGGGGTCAAGCTCCACATGTTCATTGGGAATGTTGCGTGTGTCTATTCTGGCAGTCAAATATACATTCAGTTATAAAATGTCAGCTTGTGAACTTAAAGGCTGCTCTGCATTGGTTTGGGGTGACCTAATGGTTTATAAATATAATCTCTCTTTCCTCCAGTTCCCTGCCCCCATAACACCTACCCAAACAAAATATTGTAATCCATCTCAGTTTCTCTAAATAGACAACAAACAGCGGTCTAATACAAGATCTGTATGGCCTTGGCATTCTCCTCACATTGCTGCTATATTCTTTCATGGGTCATAGTCCTCATTTTCCCCCACTGGTCAGGTACATTCGACAGCTCCCTCCAGAAGCCCATCATCACTTGGATCACTAATTTTTTTTTGGATCAGCTCCCCCACCCCAGGTAATGTGACCTTACATTCCACTCCATGGCTGGAGCTCAGGAGTACTGCCACCCCCAGCATATGGCTGGAGGAATACTGCCCTTCTCAAGGTGCTCAACTAATACCTCTATGTCCTCAGGAGGCAAAGGAAATTTGTCACATCCACAACAACAACTGCCAATTTTTATAAGATGCACCATAAAAAGCATCCTATCCGGATGCATCACAGCTTGGTATGGCAACTGCTCTGCGCAAGGCCACAAGAAATTAGAGTTGTGAACGCAGTCCAGTCCATCACAGAAAACAACGTTCTTTCCACCCCTCCCACCCAAGTTATACTCTCTTCCATTGTGCAGAAGATACTTCCCTGCTGTTAGTCAGACTTATGAACAGGTCGCTTATATTAGAGTTGATCTTTCTCCGTAGAAGTAACACAATATTCTGCATCCTGTTCTGTTGCCCTATTGTACTTATCGAAGGTTTGGTTTGCCTGGATAGCATGCAAAACAACATTTTGCAATGTATCTCAGTACACATGACAATAATAAATCAAATCAAAGAG